ATACCTGGGCAACTGCGGCATGACGGATCATGATTAGGGTCTTTGATGGAGCAAAGAGAATCAATTTTCTCAATATGGATTCATTTTACAAAAGTGTGAAGAACGTCGGTGACCTCCGTGGGATTCAAGCTCAGGGCAAGGCTTCACGGCGACCAACGTTCTGACCGGCTGCACTACGAAGCTTCACTGGCAGCCGTGATTTTAAATTTACTTGGGTCAGATTATCCGCCAAACCTCCCTCAACTTAGAGAATCCATCAATTGTGATACTGTAAGTTGGCTGCCCAAACAGGGTTTCCCAAACACCCCGTCTAAAGTCTGCAAGATGACTACCAAAATAATTTAATTAGTAAGTGTTTTCGGTAATTTAACACTTTGACTGCGACTCTCAAAATGGTCTGTTTGCCCCTGGGGCGACGTTTTGTAAACCTGCATTACTTTAGGCCCATACGTTTACCATATTTTGGCCTACGTCTCAGTTTGGGACATCACTGCATGTACCACATATGGCGCACGTCGCAGCCAAAGTGTTAAGATGATTCAGTTGGTTCAATTGTTAAAAACTCAGCGGTCACTTGACATAAACAAACTAAAGCTATTGTTGTCAGCCGTAAAAAATATGGCAGTTACAATCAGGTAGGAGCTCATGCGTGGGTTAAATTCATGGGTCTGCTCTCTAACTTTACATTAAAGACAGAATGACGGCCTTCGGTACTCACCTCTGAAAAAGCATCGTAAAACACTCATCAGGAGAAAGTTTATTAAACAATGCTGTCCATTCGACTGAGAGTGTACACTTCTGCTCTGGGCAGAAATGAGGTACACTGTCCAGGCAAGGCTACAAATGTGGCCAAAAGAACTTCTAAGAACACATATACACTCCATAGGACAAGAACTGTTTTAGGTGAATTTTTTGACAGCGATTAGAAACAAAAACCCTCATTTTTTGGTGACCAGCAAAGCACTGAAATCTCAGTGGCACCCACAGATAAAACGACTTTCAGCGTCAACAGAAACAACACAGGGGGAGAAGGGGCAAGGGGGGGGGAGACAACAGCCCTTACCGATCTTTCTTCGTAATTTTACATGTTTGCTTGCTCCTCAGCATCTCCAAAACCTCTGGTATCTCGCAGCCTGTCACTGGCTGCTCATCGATATGCGTAATTTGGTCGGTGAAACGGAGGCCAGCTCTAGCAGCCGGGGAGTCCTTTCTCACGTAAGAAATATAAATTCCACCGTTCAGACGACCAATCTGTATGCCAAATTTATCTGATTGATTTCTTTTCACTGTCACGGCGGAAGTTAGACCCGATGGTTTGCAGGGGTCGAACTTGATCCCAGTAGTAACAATGTCCGGTTGTCGGTAGAAGACCATCTCAATGGCGGGATTGCTCCTAAGTTGGTCCGCGGGTACGCTTAGAGGCCGACGGGAACGAAAGACCGGCGATTCTCCATTTTGTGACACACGCGTAAGACATAGCTGTCTTAGATATGCTTCTGAAGTAGTCGTTATATAGACGTCTAGGAGGTCCAAAATGTCGCCACTTCCTATATTTTGCATTTCCGGCTGCTGGTTAAGGAGTTCCACGATCTTAAGTGCCTCAAAACTGTTGTACAAAAGAACCTATATAAAAAAAAACGGTAAATGTAATTATCTCCCGATCTTCCGTCTGAAAATCTACAGGAAGAGATCTGGTAGCTTGTAATTTAATAATCATGGAAGGCTACGTAAGCGTCAAATATCAACAGGGGGATTACCAGAGAGGATAAATGTTTACACCAGCGAAGGAATCATAAGCAAATACGTGATCAGACTGAATGGATTATGACAACAGTAACAATAGCAATAAGAATAACAACCTACCTCACTCATTGTCAAATTACGTTAACGATTCACCCGAGGGCTTTTATTTCCCACAGACGCACATTCTCCAAATTCGACGTAAAATAAACTTTTCAGGCGGCGTAGTCTTTCGAAAAGGTGTTACAGGTGTGAGCGTACTTTCGACGACTTTGGACAGAAACTGACTACGATTACTTCTGTCGTCCGAATTTAGAAGAGCTAGAAAAGGCCAAAAGAAAGTGTTAAAACACGCATAAGCGTCACTAGAACAACTTACTTGTCTCCTGCTAACGTAGGACATGCGGTTAACTAAGGTCATAAAACATT